CTGAAACCGGGACCTGAGCACCGAGGGTTCGAGCCCCGCCCTCGGGTCGTAGCCGGGAGGCGGCCTCAGGGAGCCAAACCCGCGCTCTGAGAGCTTCCCGTGCGCCAGGCCCAGGGTGAGGTGGTGGATCCAGGCAGCAGGACCGACCGGACGATGAGTGACAAGCGCGACAACGAAGCAAAGTGAAGGGCGATCCCGGCTAGAGACGCGGGGCGGCGATGGCGGACTTCATGAAAGGAGATGGAGATGGGGGCGCGGTGGGAAGCCACTGGGGATGGGGGTGTGAGATGGGAGGGAAGGGATCGGAGGGTGTGGATGATACAAAGGGTGGAGCTGGGTGTGGGAAGCACTAAGTGGAGGTCTAGATGTGAGGCGATGGATCCTGGACGTCAGCACCCAGAGTCCACCCCTCATCCCAGCCCCTGCCTGTCTCCACACAGGGCCCTGGGCCAATGGATGGCTGCGGCCAGGACAGCAGCAGTGCCCTGGGCACCTCTGCAGCCCCAGTCCCCGACGAGAAGGAGGAGGAAGAAGGAGGAGCTGGGACAGCTGCCAAGTCAGGCCCGCAGCCAGGGCTCTACGGCTACATCAGGGACGACCTGTTCACTTCAGAGATCTTCAAATTGGAGCTGCAGAACGTGCCACGCCACGCCAGCTTCAGTGATGTCCGACGCTTTCTGGGCCGCTTTGGCCTGCAGCCCCATAAGACCAAACTCTTCGGCCAACCTCCTTGCGCTTTTGTGACATTCCGCTGCGCCGCTGAGCGGGACAAGGCTTTGCGTGTACTGCACGGTGCCCTCTGGAAGGGCCGCCCTCTCAGCGTGCGCCTGGCCAGGCCCAAGGCCGATCCCATGGCCAGGAAGAGGCAGCGTGAGGAGGAGGGTGAGCCTCCAGCCACGTGCGTGGCTGATGTAGTGACCCCTCTTTGGACGGTGCCCTATGATGAGCAGCTTGACCGGAAGCGGCTGGAGTGTGAACAGGTGCTGCAGAAGCTTGCCAAGTGAGTGTGAACACAGTCACCCCCTCGACACCGGAGCTCTGTTCAGCTCCATGCTCGGTCAGACCTACCTGTGCTCTGTACAGACCTCCTGGGCATCTGCACAGACTCTCGGGGAGCTAGCCAGTAAGACCCCTGTGCTACCAGTGGGGATAATGAGGTACAAAGTGAGGGTCCTAGGCACCTAGGCGTTTGGAGAGTCTTTGGAGATGGTTTGGGGGCAGCGGGCTGAGTCTAACCCTGGTCCCCCCTCACTCTGCAGGGAAATTGGGAACACCAACCGTGCCCTGCTGCCCTGGCTGATCTCGCAGAGGCACAAGCACAACAAAGCCTGCTGCCCCCTGGAGGGGGTCCGACCATCACCCCAGCAGGTGGAGCCCACAAACCTTTACCCCACGCTCCTAAGGAAAACCGTCCTCACCCACCCCTTGCTTTGCATTTACTGCTCATGTTGGTCACTAGCCTGCTAGCTGTTGTCGGCCTTGTCCCCTGGATTGCCACACTCGATGGGGGAGCGGGGGCTTCTCACACATTGCCCTCTCCCACTCCTTGTGGTTCCCTCCATGAACAAGTAAGTGGTGGGCTGCCAGGTTAAGGTCAGCTGTGTCTCTCTGCCACCCTCTGCTCACCCTGCAGACCGAGTATCGGAACAAGTGTGAGTTTCTGGTGGGCATCGGAGTGGATGGAGAGGACAACACTGTGGGCTGCCGGCTAGGAAAGTACAAGGGCGGGACCTGTGCTGTGGCGGCCCCCTTTGACACTGTGCACATCCCCGAGGCCACCAAGCAGGTGGTGAAGGCTTTTCAAGAGTTTATCCGGTGAGGACTTGCAGCTGGGAGAAGGTTCCGGAATGTTCAGACTTACAGCAGAGAGCCGGAGTCCTGCTGGGGAAAGGTGGGGGGTGAGAGTCCTATGATTGTGGTGGCCTGGTGGGTGTGGCTAACGGAGAGCAGGAATGTTTCTTGCCTAGTTCTGGTCAGATGTTGGGGACTCAGGGCTGCTTATGGCTCCTACAGGTCTACTCCGTACTCGGCATACGACCCAGAGACATACTCAGGCCACTGGAAGCAGCTGACCGTGCGCACCAGCCGCCGTGGCCAAGCCATGGCCATTGCCTACTTCCATCCTCAGGTCTCAGGCTGGGTGGCCCTGCTGGGTGAAGGTGTCCCAGCCAGAGTGGGTTGCATGCAGCACAGCCTCACAGGGCCTTTTCTACTGTCTCCCCCAGAAACTGAGCCCTGAGGAGCTGGCAGGGCTGAAGGCCTCCTTAGCGCAGCACTTCACAGTGGGACCAGGCAAGGCCAGCGGGGTGACCTGCCTCTACTTCGTGAAGGAGGGACAGCGGTGAGGAGCCTGGATGGGAGGCTGGGGTGAATCCTTTCGAGGGCTAGCAACACTGACTGGCCTCACCACCCACAGAAAGACTCCCAGCCAAGAGGGCCTGCCCCTGGAGCACATAGCTGGGGACCAGTACATCCACGAAGATCTGCTGGGGTTGACCTTCCAGATTTCCCCTCATGCCTTCTTCCAGGTAGCTGAGTGCCCTGGGAATCATAAAGACACACAGAGGGAGGCCCAATGTGATTCCTGGACATAGTTGGGATAGTGGGCTAGGGTAGGTGACAAGTGTTAGCCTGCACAAGTTTGGGGGAGAGCATTCAGGCAGGGGAGCCATAAGTGCTGTGAGGTAGTAAATTTCACTAACTAGACCTTTGTGATATAACCCTGCTGCAGAGCCACATGTAGGGGGTGGGAGCTGGGTGGTGCCAGGGCTCTGGTGTGAAGTCTTCTGTGCCTGATGCTGATGGGGAAGGGTCCCACACATCCATCACTCAGAAGTCCTTAGTTAGGGATGTGGGGGGTCAGCATCAAGTTGCTTTTAAAGTCAGGGCCCTGAGTGAGGTTGCCCAACATCTTGTAGATGGAAGAGCAGTTGGACCACTAGCCCTGGGGTGCTTCAGCAATTAGAGGTGGGGAAGGGGTGGGATCAGACCTCGAGAAAAGATGAGTGAGCCAGGGACTGGCCACAGGTCTTAGGGGGAGTTCCCCGGGGAATGCAGGCACTTGGTGGGGCGCTGCAGGGGGAGGCAAATTTGGGCAGTGGGCTGCTTTGACATCCTGGGTTGTGCTGGCCCACCTCCAGGTGAACACCCCAGCTGCTGAGGTGCTCTACACAGTCATCCAGGACTGGGCCCAGCTGGATACAGAGAGCACAGTGCTGGACGTGTGCTGTGGCACTGGCACCATCGGCCTGGCCCTGGCCCGGGTGAGCCCTCCCACCCACCTCAGCTGAGGATGCCCTCTCCTCACCCAACCCTCCTGCTATCACCACTTTGTGACCCCCTAGCCTGTCCCAGATCCTCTTCTACTCCCCACAATGCCTCCTGCTACTCTCCGCCCCAGGCCCCTGGGGAGGTGCAAGGCACCATCAGCCTGTAACCTCCCCTTGATTCAGAAGGTGAAGAGAGTTGTGGGGATTGAGCTGTGCCAGGAAGCTGTGGAGGATGCCCGGGTGAATGCCAACAACAATGGTGAGAGCCAGTGTACCACACAGTGGGCAGTCCCCACTGCTATACACCGTAACACCACACCTAGAATCCATTACATGGCTTCTAGGGAGTGGGGGGGTGTGGGGACACGTGACAGAAACTGCAGAAGGCACAACAGGGCCCCTAGTGTGCACCCACCCACAAAGCCTGGGGCTGCCTGATAGGGAAGGAGGGTGAGCAAGCTCCCTGGCCAGTGAGTTCTCCTATGGCACCTCTGGTCAGGGGCTTCAGGACACCACAGCGGGCAGCTCAGCGGGCCCTGTGTGGCAGAGCATCCTGGATCCCAACAGGCTTGCTGTACCATCTGCAGAGTTGAGCAATGTCGAGTTCCACTGTGGGAGGGCCGAGGACCTGGTGCCTGCCCTGGTGAGCAAACTGGCCTCCCAGAAGCTTGTTGCCATCCTGGACCCACCCCGTGCCGGCCTGCGTGAGTAGCCTCCATTTGTGGACGGTACAGGGAAGGGAGGGCAGTGACGTCTGGGTGGACCACCAGGCTGTACAGCATCAGGCCTGATGTCCACATCCATTGGGCTACCCCTCCTTTGAGGTGGGAACCTCCCCTTAAGGAGTCTGCCTCCTCAGATTCCAAAGTGATCCTGGCCATCCGCAGAGCTGAGAACCTCAAGCGGCTCCTGTACGTCTCCTGCAACCCGCGGGCGGCCATGGGCAACTTTGTAGAGTGAGTTTAAGGTGGGGGCTTGGGGTGGAATAGGGCCAGCACCCAGCCCCACGCCTCCCACAGGAGCCCAGCCATGTGACTGACCTGGACTGTTCCCTTCCCACCATAGCCTCTGCAGAGCCCCATCTAATCGGGTGAAGGGCACCCCCTTCCGGCCAGTCAAAGCTGTGGCTGTGGACCTGTTCCCGCAGACCCCGCATTGCGAGATGCTCATCTTGTTCGAGAGGGTGGAGCACCCCAATGGCACAGAGACCCTGGAGCCCCAGGACCCACCAGCTCAGCACTCACCTGGGCCCCCAGATGACACCCAGCAGGAATCTGGGTCCTCCCCTCCTTCCTAGGCCCCAGAGCAGTGGAAACCAGCCTTTCCAGAACACGTCTAGTCGGCATCACGGGCAGAAACCAAGTGGCTCCTCAAATCCTTGCCTCACCCCAAAACACTGAGGCAGTACTACCAACAGGACATAAGACCCAGCTGTCCTGCCCAGGGCCTTCCCGTTACTGTGGGTTATAGGCTCTTGCACCCTGCACACAGGTACACACACACTCATTCTTTTTGGACCACAAGGGCCAGAATAAACAACTGCTAAACTACTGATGTTTCTGTGATGAGAAACCAAGGCCAAGTGTGTGTGTAGGGGGGAGTGGGGGTGTACAACACAAGGCAAGGGGCTGTCCTTGCCCGTCTAGCCCCCACTTTCCCTGCACCAAAGGGAGGACCCTCAATTTTGTTCCACCCCCAACTGAACCCCGAAGAAGGAAGCTGGGCTGGGATGCTGTTTGGCTATTATGGGGAGCAGCTGTGTCCAGGCAAATGCCCTAAGCTCAGTGGGGTTTGCTCCAGAGAGGTTCTGGCAAACTGAGGGTCCACAAGACCCCCTAGTCTTCCACAGCTAGAAAAAAACACCAGTCAGAACCTTTTGGACAGGTTTGTTTTATGTGTCCAAACAATCAAGGCTCACTGTTACAGCCATGGCCCAGCCACCATCTGGGACATACATGATGCACAGAGGTGGCATCAGATCAGCAGAGGCTCTCCTTGCCCTCTACCCCCACAGCACAGCTGTGTGCACACAACACGCACACCACACATGGGACAGGAAGGATATGGTGGGGCCACAGAGGCTCACCCACTTCTAGTAACACGTGCACAAAGCTTTGGTTCATAATGGCGCATCTGGCTGTTTTAAGGGCAAACCGTCAGTCAATTATTCATTGCTGCAGACAGGAAGCAAGACAGAAGCAAGTGTATAATTACAGCAATTTGATTGAGGACTCTGTTTTATAAAGGTCAACACAGAAGCTAACCTTGGTCACATGGGTGCTGAGGGAGGGATACACTGGGTGGCCTACAAGGCCAACATTGTCTTCCCGGAAGCAGACACCACCAATTGTCTTCCTGGAAACAAAACACCATCCACAGGGGATGTGGTGGACAGGCACACCCAAAGAACATAACAATGCAACCCAGCGCTGGGCTCCTGTATCTGGCAGTGCACCATGAACATGTGGCACCCTGAAGAGGTGCTGGGAACAGGAAACCAATGGCTAACCACCACTACCTTACATGTGGGGACAACCAAGGGCCCCCGCACGCCCTGGGACTCAGAGCAGGGTCACATCTAACCCTGCACCCGTCCACAGGGGCCACCTGGAGAGCACAGGCTGCTGGTCAGAGGAGTGAGCTGGTTACCAGACCTGGCTGCACAGGGCGGCTGCCTTTGAAATCCAGTGAAGCCACCGTCCATGTGCTTGCACCAAATCTGGAGAGGAGTGCCAGTTTGTGATCAAGAATGGATTGCACTACGGGTCCTTGTTCCCTCTTCTTAAATAAACCCACGTGCTAAAATTCATTAATTGTTTATATCTGCTACATGATTCCAAATCTATCTTCTACACACTGTAAAAGTTTCTTTCCAAATGCTAAAATATCATAAAAGCTTTAAAAACTGAAGAGTGGATAGAGAGATTTGACTGTGCAAAAATCTTTAGTAAAAAGTTGCTAAAGGCCAGTGAAGGTAACCAGCCTAGGTGTGTTTTTAGGGCATTAAGACTTACTCAGAAGGCCCTGGCCGGGTGGATAGCTCAGTTTGTCAGAGCATCGTCCTGATATGATATGCCAAGTTTGCGGGTTTGATCCCTGGTCAGGGCACATACATGAATCAACCAATAAATGCATAAATATGTGGAACAACAAATTGATTGCTTTTCTCTCTCTCTCAAATCAATTAAAAAAAACTTTAATTTTTTTAAAAAGACTTGGAAAAATGGATCACAACCCAGCTCAGGGCTTGGGGAACAAGCCAGGCAGAAACACACTGGCTGAAAAATAATCACCTTGATGATTTGCCTGCAATCTCTGAAAAATAGTTCTGATGCTAAAATTGTGTTTGTTTTAAACCTAAAAGGTCTGAAATACTCATTCCTGTTATAACATTTTCAGGAAAAAAGGGGAAAACACAGGAGGCAGGAAAGGGGATGGTGTGCCAGGATGCGCCTTCTGACCAGGTTCCTGCAGGAGCCCTAGGCACAGGGCGCCATAGCACTTGGCCATCACGTCTCATTTCATCTGTGATCCAACTATCATTTCTTGTCAGTGCATGTTACATACTAAAATTCATGAAAATCTTCATAAAACCAGTCTGCAGCAAATCCATAAAAGCATAGGTCATCTCCAAGCTCAGCTTCCACCTGCACGGGCAGGCTGAGCTGATGCTTGAACACGTCCACTCAGACCTGTGGGTGGCCCACAAGGAAATGGTATAGTAGAATGTGGCCCTGGCTGTCCCCATACACTGGAGCCCCACCCCTCTGGCCCCAGCCTCAGACATGTGGCTGTAGGGGAGGAACTTAGATTGGAGATGAGAGGCTGCAGAGTGAGCGGTGCATGGTCTCCTGGCACAGAGCTGGCAGCCTCCATGCCCGGTTCACCACCTCCTCACACGTCCACAGTGCACAGGGGCTCGCCACCAGGCTGAGCAGATGCCACAATAGACATCTTGGGCTTCTTCCGCGTCTCCTCCTAGAAAAACAATGAAGGTCAGGGATGCCAGTGAGGTGGGAACATGTTGCAGCCCAGCTTCAGGCAAGAGGCTCCAGAGGGAGATGGGTGGGTGGGGGGTGAGCCCAGCAGACTGGTGCCAGGCAGCCTCTGGAGTAGGAGGGCACCCGTGCTTTGCAATTTCAGGCTGGAAAGAATAAAGGCCTGAGGAGTGGGCCGGGCAGGAGCCTGGATGGGAGGATAACCCTGGACACCATCAGAGTACATGATTCCCTGGGTATCAGGACAGTCAATAAGGAAGAGCCAAGGAGGTTACAGCCACCAGGGATACGCCCCTAGTGGGTCTCTCTCCTCACCCCTACCTGAGGGCAGCAGCAAGGCATCCCCTGGACCCAAAAGGTCCACAAAGACAACAGACACCTACTTCAGGGTTTATACAGGCCCAGGCTGATACCACAGCTGAAAAGATCCGAGCCCAGAGGCTCCCTGAATGGGTGGTTTTAGAAACGGCATGGGGACTGAGCCCTACCTGCATTCAACTGTTCTGTGAACCACACTCCTTCCTCAGAACTGCTGAGGACTCTAAGAGGAAGAGGTCCAGGATGGCAGTCTGTCAACCACAAGGACCCTGAGTGTGTGTGTGTGGAGGGGGGCGGGGGGACGGGGGGTGCGGCAGAGGGCTAGCCAGTGCACTCTCCCTGCCCTCAAACAGCCAGCACCAAAAGTCAGTGCATAAGAGGCTGGGCCTTTCACAAGCACTATCAAGCTAGAGCTGCCAGCTCTCTAATTTAATTATATAAAATAGAGACTTAGCATAAGTATCACGAATGCTGAAGCTCAAGGAAAAGCAAATCTAATCTGGATGGCTCTTCAGGTGCCTGGGCACTGCCAGGGTATCAGAAGCCAG